AATTCCAATGATATATACAAATATTACTCCTATACATCTCCTTTCCCTTTCTACCTTTTTCCCTTTCTACCTTTTTTCTACCTTTCTATTATTTATATTTAATATATATTTAATGTATAATATAAACATACATAATATATTATAAATATGTCTTATAAAATATTTAATATATTGATTATAATAAATATAAATATTATATATGAATGTTTATATTATTAAAATATACATATTAAAATTACAAAGCCAACAATACATTGTTATAGTTATTACTTTACCATCTGTGATCATTTCCTCAGCCCATTACAGCTTTGCTCCCATCCACCTCCTTTGTGCTGTTATAGGCAAGTATACTACATTTATATTACATTTGTATGTCATAGACCCAATGATGTTACATAAGTTATTATTTTATACAATTGCTCTTAAAATCAGTTACAAGAAGTGAAAAATATAAATTTCTATTGTCTTTTATAATTATATAATGACCTTTCCCAATGCTCTTTTTAAAAAATTTTTTGTAAAGATTTTATTTATTTATTCATGAGAGACATAGAAAGAGAGGGGCAGAGACACAGGCAAAGGGAGAAGCAGGCTCCATGCAGGGAGCCTGATGTGGGACTCAATCCCAGGACTCTGGGACACGCCCTGAGCCACAGGCAGACGCTCAACCACTGAGCTACCCAGACATCCCAGTCCTCTTTTTTTTTAATGTCAATTTGAATCGCTATCTGAGGCCACTTGCTTTCAGCCTCAAGAATTTCCTTTAATGGGCTGCCTGGGTGGCTCAGAGGTTAAGCATCTGCTTTCGGCTCAGGGCATGATCCTGGAGTCCCGGATCAAGTCCCACATCAGGATTCCTGCATGGAGCCTGCTTCTGCCTCTGCCTGTGTCTCTGCCTCTCTCTGTGTGTCTCTCGTGAATAAATAAAATCTTTAAAAAAAAAATTTTTCCTTTAGTATTTCTTGTAAGGCAGGTCTTTGAGCAACATTTCCAGTTTGCATTTACCTGGGAAAGTCTTTATTTCACCCTCATAATCGAAATAGCCATTTTGAAATATTCAGCTCTGCTGGATGTTGGATTCTTAGTTGACAAATTTTTTCTTTGAGCATTTTGAATATGTTATCCCACAGCCTCTGACCTCTATGATTCCTGCAGAGAAGACAGCTGTTAATCTTATTGGAATTTCCTTGTATGGGACACCTGGATGGCTCAGCAGTTAAGTGTCTGCATTTGGCCCAGGGTGTGGTCCTGGAGTCCAGGGATCGAGTCCCACATCGGGCTTCCTGCGTGGAGTCAGCTTCTCCCTCTTCCTCTCTCTCTCTGTGTCTTTTGTGAATAAACAAATAAAAATCTAAAAAAAAAAGGAATTTCCTTGTATGTGGTAAGTCCTTTTCTCTTGCTGTTTTTTCAAGATTTTCTCCTTGTCTTTGACTTTCAGCATTGTTTTACTCATGGATCTCTTTGTATTTATCCTCCTCGGAGTTTACTGAGCTTTCTAAATGTCCAAGCTATTGTTTTTCAACAAATTCAAAGAAGTTTCACCCATTATTTTTTAAAAATATTTTTTCTCTTTCCTCTCCTAGTATTCCCATCACACATGTGCACTTAATGATTTACTACATTTTTTTGGAGGCTCTGTACATTTTTCTTCATTCTTTTTCTATTCTTCAGGCTGCATAGTCTCTATTATTCTATCTTTTTTAAAAATATTTACTTATTCATGAGAGACACACACAGAGAGGCAGAGACAGGCAGAGGGAAGAACAGGCTCCATGCAGGGAGCCCGTTGCGGGACTCGATCCCGGGTATCCAGGGTCACGCCCTGGGCGGAAGGAGACGCTATACCGCTGAGCCACCTGGGCTGCCCTCTATTATTCTATTTTTATTTATTTATTTATTTATTTATTTATTTATTTATTTATTTATTATAGTCACAGAGAGAGGGAGAGAGAGGCAGAGACACAGGCAGAGGGAGAAGCAGGCTCCATGCACCGGGAGCCCGACGTGGGATTCGATCCCAGGTCTCCAGGATCGCGCCCTGGGCCAAAGGCAGGCGCCAAACCGCTGCGCCACCCAGGGATCCCTCTATTATTCTATCTTAAGCAGGCTAATTCTTTGTTCTGCCAGTTTGAATCTACTTTGAGTCCCTCTAGTGAATTTTTATTTCAGTAATGGTATTTTTCAACTCCAGGATTTTCATTTGGTTCTTTTTTAAAATTCTTCTCTCTTTACTGATCTTTTCTACTTGATGCAAAAACGTTCATTATACTTTCCTTCTTTAATTATGTTTTCCTTTAGGTCTGTGAGCATGTTTGTAATGCCTATTTGAAATCTTTTCTGCAAAATCTGACATCTGGTCACTTTCACAGGCAATTCTATTGCTAGTGTTTTTCCATTGAATGGTTCATAGTTCCCTGTTTCTTTGCAGGCCTCATAATTTTTGCTGGAAACTGGACATTTTAGGTAATACATTATCTAAATAACATAGATACTGTACTGGTTCTCCCCATCCCAGCCCCAGGGCTTGTTATTGGTTCATTCATTTAGTGATGAGCTGGAATGTTTTAGTGAAATCTATCTCCTTCACACAGTGTTAAGGCCTATGATGTTTTCTTCAGAGAGGCACAAATTCAGTTATGGCCACAGTCATCCTTGGGTGTCAGTGGTTTTAATAGGGCTCTTTCTCATCCCCCTAATCACACCCAGCTGTTAAACTCCATTAATTGTGTTTTACTCTTCTATTATTTTCATCCATGCCCTGGAGCATAACTTGCTCTACAAAGTAATCCAATCAACGGTGGCTCTTTGGGGGGTAAAGTTTTTCAATCCCATGAAGGGCTCTTTCCAGCTGTTTTAGTTCTCTGATTCTCTCCTGCAAACTAGCTGGCCTACCTTCTAGGCTGGATCTTCATTAAATCCATAACCTCCGGGATCCCTGGGTGGCGCAGCGGTTTAGCGCCTGCCTTTGGCCCAGGGCGCGATCCTGGAGACCCAGGATCGAATCCCACGTCAGGCTCCCTGCATGGAGCCTGCTTCTCCCTCTGCCTCTATCTCTGTGATGACTATCATAAATAAATAAAATTTAAAAAAAAATCCATAATCTCCTCCCAATTGCTCTTCATCAAATCCTCCACTGTTTTAAGAGTTCCTTTAGGGATACACTTCTCCACATTTTGTTGCAAATGAAGTAACTGCCTTTGGGAAGAGAGCAGGAGCTACAGGTTTTTTGTTTTGTTTTTTTAAATTTTTTTTTTAATTTTTATTTATTTATGATAGTCACAGAGAGATAGAGAGAGGCAGAGACATAGGCAGAAGGAGAAGCAGGTTCCATGCACCGGGAGCCTGACGTGGGATTCGATCCCGGGTCTCCAGGATTGCGCCCTGGGCCAAAGGCAAGCGCCAAACCGCTATGCCACCCAGGGATCCCGGAGCTACAGGTTTTAAAGCCGCCTTCTCCCTCCAGGTAAAATCTCTGAGTCCTTGGTGGAAGAGGAAGGATTGGGGGAACACACAAGCCTGAAGTTTTCTCAGTTTGCCTCCTCTGGCATGGAACCACCATTGCACAAGCTGGGCCTGGGCCAGGAGTAACCGGGGCCCCAGTAGTCTCAGCATGCCATGCACAAGGCACAGCTCCCATTCTGTGAATAGGAGCTGTATAGAAGAAGTAAGCCCCATCTTTCAACTATACACATCTGGTACTTAGTCTCAGCAACAAGTAAGCTTATGCAGAATAAGAAACACTGAAATCCTGTTCCTCCTGGGAAAAAAGTGGTCTGACAGGGAGCTAGGGAAGAGGGAGCCCTGTGTTCTGGGTTACAGCAGTCTGGAGTGGAATCTCTACTCTGCTGAATTGGAAGTGGGGAGGGAGGTAGTAGCCTTGGTTCAAATACCATAGACTCTCGCCTTAGCAAATTTTCATAGATTTTCTCAAATAGCCCTTTATTCATTTGATGAATGTTTGCCCTTAGGACCATTTCCAGAAGGTTTAAATAGTTGAGTTTTTTGAAGTAATTTTTCCTAGTCTTCCAAGGGAGGTCAATGAAGCTACTCACACTGTCATACTAGAAGTGAATCATCAGGCTGTTTTTGTGCTATAATAGTAGAGCTGAAGGACTAAGTAGTTGTAACAGAGATCCTATGGCCTGCAAAGCTGAAAATATTTACTACGTGGCCCTTTACAGAAAAAGTTTGTCAACCCCTGACTTAGGTCACTTCTGTCAGTGCTGCTGGTTTCACAGACTACACTTTGGACTAGCAAGGACTTAAATTACATGAGAAGCAGTACTATTTTGGCTAAAAGCTGGACTTAAAATCCCACTTTGCCACAAACTAGATACATAGTTTGGGGTGCCTACCTCATTGGGTTGTTGTGAGAATTAAACGTATTAATGTCTGACGCTTACAACACATTCAACAAATGATAACTTATCATCATGGTGTAAACTGCATGAAAAGTATTAGACATCAACTCTTATCTGAAACAGTTCACTTCCAGAAAATGGAAGCTTTTGGAAAAAAAGGAAGTAAGTATAGATTTTCCAAAACACAAGACGCAACTTTTAATACCTGGGGCACATAAAAATATCTAATGAAGTAAAACAAACAAACAAACAAAAAAACTTAGAGCTGGAACTTAAGTCTGACACTGAAAACCAGAATTTCGCCTTCCACGGACGCTTCCAGTAACAATGAATGAAAACCTGAATGAAGTGCTTCCAAACCCAAAAGCCCTAAGAAAAAAAGAAAGAAAGAAAGAAAAAAGCAGCAATTATCTTTAACATGAGGATTTGGGCCTAGATGGCTCCTTCTGGTTCTGGCTGGCTCCGTCTATGCTCAGAGATGATACGAGCTGGATCCCTCAAGCTTCCACCTTGACTGTCACCGCGGCAGGGGCGCCCCAGCTGGTGCCCGACCCACAGCGGGGCCGGGCGAGCGGGGATCCCGCCGGATTCCGCCCGGCTCCCGCTTGCCACAGCCCGTCGGGGTTGCCAGTCGGTTACCTCGCAATTGAACTCCATCTCGGCGTCCATGGTGACGATCCGCACGGTGAACGTCTTGGGCTGCTTCCTCTTGAGCGAGCTGAAGCTCATACGGGAAGCGATGGCCCCGGCCATGGCGCGGGGCTCAGGCCCGGGACCCTCGCGCCCCGAGGCCTGCGCTCTGGACCTGTTAGCCCCCCTGGAGGAGCCGCACAGGCCTCAGGGCCACCATGGTAGCCGACTGGCCCGCCTGGGAGCTGGCTGGTCCGCGCGGGCCCCCAGCGGCCAGCATGGGCCGTGAGGACCCTGCCCCGGGAGCGTAAAGAGGAGTTGGGGGGCGGACCCTTACGGCCACGGGGACGGAACACGAGCCGAGACCCAGCGGATGGGCTCTGCCCGGCGCTCAGGGTCTCGGGCCGGGGACGCTGGGGACGCCCCGGGACGGGGCCCCTAGACCGCAGCGGCCCAGCCCCCGCGCGCCTCGAAGCGGCCGAGGGAGGTCTCGGGGCCGCGCTGCGGCCGGGCGCGCACGTGCGCGCGTGGCTGTCACCGTCCTCGCTCCGCGCGCCCGCGGGAAGCGTCCCCTCCCCACAGACCCCGGCCTGCTCCCCGCCCCGCCCTCAGGTCCCCAGATCGTTACACACAGCGCAACCGAACCCGGCGGCTGCCGCTCGGACACCGCGATTGGCTGAGAACCCTAGGGAGGCGGGACCTTTCCTGCCAGTCCACCCTACTTCAGAGGGACTCCACCAATCGGAAGTTCCGCCGTGATTGGAGGCGCGGGCCTGGGCTCGGCGTTGAGTGGCCAGAGTGGCAGTCACTCCGAACGCTTTTGTTCGCAGGGAGTACGCCTACTCTAGCAAGATTGGTTGAGGCAGCGGAGCCCGGCGCGCCTTCCACCCGCAGCCACCTAGAGGCTGGTACGCGGCTGCGGGTGGGTCAGCGGGGGCCTGCCCTTCGGACTGAGTACGCGTGGAGTGTGGCACCCCAGAGGGCGCGTGTCAGACACCCAGCGGAAAACCCTCCCGGCCCTTAATGGCTTATACTGACCTCTGTGTTTCTCTAAACTTTTCAAGTCACGTGGAAGCTGCTTAGATTGCTGGCACTCCCCCAGATCGTTCTGCTTCTCCCTGGGAGAAAGTGTGTTATTACCAAGGAAGGGTGATGATTGTACCTACTCCGTGGGGTTGTTGAGGAATTTAAGGACGTTAATACATAGAAAGCTTTAGAACGGTGGCTGCTGGCATATACTAGGTGGAATCCTATGAAATTGCTGTTTTTCATGAGAGACTCCTAACTCTGGGGAATGAACGAGGGGTAGTGGAGGGGGAAGTGGGCGGGGGGTTGGGGTGACTGGGTGACGGGCCCTGAGGAGGGCACTTGGCGGGATGAGCCCTGGGTGTTATGCTAAATGTTGACAAATTGAACTCCAATAAAAAAAATTTTTTTAATTGCTGTTTTTATACATACACTCAGAACGGTCCAAAAAATGAAAGCGTTTCTCATTTTGTATTCTGATTTCCACTTTCAAACCATAGCTGTGTTTTATTTATTTTTTAAATGTCATCAAGTTATAGTGGGTGTGTCGTGAGGTGGGGGTGTATATAGCTTTCTGTATTAAAAATATAAATCCTACTTTTAAGTAACTCTTAATAAGGGACATCTGGGTGTCTCAGTGGTTGAGCGTCTGCCTTTGGTTCAGGCTGTGATCCTGGGGTCCTGGAATTGAGTCCTCCATCAGGATCCCCTCAGGGAGCCTGCTTCTCCCTCTGCATAGGTCTCCCCCCTCTGTGTGTGTGTGTGTGTGTGTGTGTGTGTGTGTGTGTGTGGTGAATACATAAATAAAATCTTTTTAAAAAAATAACTCTTAATGGTTGAGAAGAGACAGTTTCCTCTGTTTTGACTGAACAGTAAGCAATCCATAAATGTTAACCACCATTAGCATCACCTCCTCTACAGATGGGAAAAGAGAGGCTCAGCCCACAGAGCCACCTGCTGACTATTATTTAGATAGTGAGAAGCTAAGATGGGACTCAAAACCCAGATTTATCCCACCCAGAGCCTGCTGTCCATACCACTGTGCTGCCCTCCGCGAATTGTGGCTGCCAAGTTGCTCCCTGTTGCGGCCCCAAGAACCATGAACTACTGTTCTGGAGCACTCAGCAGACACTGTTGCTGTAACTGCACTATAGCATAAATCTAGCTCGTCCCCCACAGGCCCCTGTGGTGCCATGAATCACCAGCATTTGTGGCCCACCCAGCAAAGCTGCTCTGGGGGAACTTTATGTCCTATCCACTGCTAGCAAATTCTCCCCACTAAAATGATTGTTCAGGGCTATGTGGGCTTGGAGTGAAAGTGTCTTCATTTTAATTGCTTCAGTTCTTCCCTGTAGGTGGGAGAACCAGGGTGGATTCTCCTTAGGGCCCCCCACAGGGAAAACAAATGAGAGCTTTAACCCAGGGCCAGGACTGCTGACAAAATGCATTCTGGGATCCTACTGAGGAGTAGAAAGAGGATGTAGATTAGACAGCAGGGGTAGAAATAACATTGATGACCAGTAATAACTCCTGTTTATGGAAGGATTACTAGGTGCTAGGTACTGGGCTAATTGGCCAAAGATGCCAAATTTAAACATTTTTAGGGAGACACCCAAGTAGGTACGTGGGTCTGGATCTCAGAAGGGAGGCCAGGACCAGGAATAAAAATAGATGTAATGGAATATTATGCTGGCATTAAAAGTGCCATTCACAAAAAAAAAAAACAGAGACAATAATAGTACCTACGGGATAAGAGAATAATTCAAGCAGAGTTCATTAAAAAAGATCTGGGGATGCCTGACAGGCTCAGTCAGTAGAGCATGAAACTTTTGATCTTGGGTTCATGAAATCGAGCCCCACACTGGGGGGTAGATTGTACTTAAAAATACATATTTCTTTTTTTTTCTTTTTTTTTTTAATTTATTTATGATAGTCATACAGAGAGAGACAGAGAGGCAGAGACATAGGCAGAGGGAGAAGCAGGCTCCATGCACCGGGAGCCTGACGTGGGATTCGATCCCGGGTCTCCAGGATCGTGCCCTGGGCCAAAGGCAGGCCCCAAACCGCTGCGCCACCCAGGGATCCCAAAAATACATATTTCTTAAAAGATTTTATTTATTCATGGAAGACACGGAGAGAGAGGCAGAGACATAGGCAGAGGGAGAAGCAGGCTCCCTGTAGGGAACCTGATGTGGGACTTGACAACGGGAACTCCAGGGTCATGCCCTTAGCCAAAGGCAGATGCTAAACCACTGAGCCACCAAGGCATCCCAAAATAGATATTTTTTTAAAAAAATAATTAAGGGGGATCCCTGGGTGGCGCAGCGGTTTGGCGCCTGCCTTTGGCCCAGGGCGCGATCCTGGCGACCTGGGATCGAATCCCACGTCGGGCTCCCGATGCGTGGAGCCTGCTTCTCCCTCTGCCTGTGTCTCTGCCTCTCTCTCTCTCGCTGTGACTATCATAAATAAATAATATAAATAAATAAATAAATAAATAAATAAAAAATAAAATAAAAAAAAATAATTAAGGGACCCCTGGCTGGCTTAGCCCATGGAACAGGTAACTCTTGATCTCAGAGTCATGAGTTCAAGTCTTATGTTGGGGTTAGAGATTACATAAAAGAATAAAATATTTAGAAAGAAAGAAAGATCTGGACATACAGACACCAGTTAGTAAATACCAATTGAATGAAGAAATAAAGGACACAGGGAAATACTTAGTAGTTTCACTTATGGAAACAATATTAATATCTATAATACATTAAGTGCTTACTACATAAGGTACTCTGCAAAAGGCTTTGCATGCTTTATTTCTTTTGATCTTTATCAAAACCCTATTTAGTAGGTATTATATCCCCCGTTTACACATGAAGAAACTGGCTAAGGATGAAAGGAGGTAGTGTTTACCCAAGATCATACCCGGAGAGATGCAATCTGTATCCAGGACTGTTTTTATCTGGATTTCACCTTAGTTACATTTTGTTCCTCCATTCTTCCAGAAGACCAGTGGTTCTCAAAGGTAGGTCCATTTCCTCCAGGAGACATTTGACAATGTCTAAAGATTTTGTGTGTGTGTGTGTGATAACTAGGGAATGTTCCTGTACTCCCTGGTAAAGGCTGAGGATGTGTTAAACATCTCACAATGCACAAGACAACCTCCCACAATAAAGAATTATATAGTCCAGGGCAGCCCTGGTGGCACAGCAGTTTGGCGCCGCCTGCAGCCCAGGGCGTGATCCTGGAGACCCCGAATCGAGTCCCACATCAGGCTCCTTGCATGGAGCCTGCTTCTCCCTCTGCCTGTGTCTCTGCGTCTCTCTCTCTCTCTTTCAGTGTTTCTCATGAATAAATAAATAAATACAATCTTTTTAAAAAAAAAAGAATTATGTAGTCCAAAGTATCAATGGTGACAAGGTAAAGAAATCCTGATCTAGAGCAATTTTTTTTAAGATTTATTTATTTATTTGAAAGAGAAAGCACAAGCGGGAGGGGCAGAGGAAGAGGGAAAGAGAATCTCAAGCAGTCTCCAAGCTCAGTGCAGAGCCACACTCAGGGCTCAACCTCATGACCCTGAGATCACAACCTGAGCCAAAACCAAGAGTCAGTGCCACCCAGGCACCCCTAGAACAATGATTCTTTAACTGTTTTTGTGTTTGTTTATTTTTTTGTTATTTTAAGTCAAAAGCACTCTATCAAGTCTCTGATTTAACCAGTAGATTTTCTCCCCAAAGAAATACACACACATACACATGCACAAAATTTTGCATGTGGTTTTAGAAGGCTCATGGGAAGACTCTTCCAAAGCATATCTTAAGCCCCTGATTAAATCAACTCATCACCAAGATTGAATCAGCTAGTACCAGATGCTTCATGTGAATGTTAGATTATAACCTGTCTGCCAAAAACTGGACTTTGTTGTTTCTGGAATTACTTTTACTGTATATTGGCATAAAGCCAGTGGCCTGCACTAAGGATGTTATAAGAACCCTGTGGAACTCGGTCTTTACAGTAGAGATTTTGCTGACAAAGGTACACACGGGATCTTTTATATGAAGACCCACAAGAGAAATATTTCTTATACTCTAGCACTTATATTTCTCATGGGAGACTGTTTTACTTTTTATTTTTTTAATAAGGTTCATTGTGTTTTCCTTATCTCATAGGTCATCCATATGTGTTACAAAAAAGAAATAGAAACTGTAGATAAGCAGTGTGGTAAGCATAATTCTAAAATGTCCCCCATTGGGGCACCTATGTGGCTCAGTCAGTTAAAGGTCTGCCTTCAGCTCAGGTCATGATCTTGGGATTCTGGAATTGAGTCCCACATCAGGCTCCCTGCTCAGCGGGGAGTCTGCTTCTCCCTCTCCTGCCCCTCCCCCTGCTTGTGCTCAATCTCTCTCAAATAAAATCTAAAGAAAAAAAAGGCAAAAAGTAAAATGCTCCACATTGATCTCTCTTTTTTTTTTATAAAGATTTTATGTATTTATTCATGATAGTCACACAGAGAGAGACAGAGAGGCAGAGACACAGGCAGAGGGAGAAGCAGGCTCCATGCAGGGAGCCTGAC